GTTTGAATCTTTGACTTCCTCGTTTTTCCGATTTGCTCTAGCACGTTTACACTGGAGATCAGATTTCAGAGTCTCTTCTGACATCTATTTTGTTCTTTTGTTTCTTTACTGTCTTTTTAATGACCTTTTGCTTTCTTTCTGAATGACGTTCTTGATGTCATCCCACAGCTCTTCATGTCTTTGGTCATCATTGTCAATTGCATCAAATCCAATTCTGGTGTGATTCATAATGTTTTTATCTTCCAGCACTATATCTGACAATGTTCCACTGCTGGTCATAAAGGTTTTTGGTGGTTAAACATTCAGATGTAGTCCGCCTTTCCTTCTTTCTAGTCTGTCTCAATCTGGAAGTTCTACTGAAACCTGTCCACCATGGGTGACCCTGCTGGTATTTAAAATACAGGTTGTATAACTTCCAGCATCATACATCATAACAACACACAAGTCACCACAATATGACAAACTGAGATACGAGTCATGGTATACACGAATAAACCCCATTTTGTGTGACCATTGCAATGGATTATTGAACCCAGATATGAAACAGAGTGCTGTGGGAGGAATTATTGGTATCAAAACAGGGTAAAGAAGGTTAAAGAGCGGAGGCATGCCTGACCTCCATTTCACAGGAATCAGCCTTGGCTGATTTTGAGTTCAATTCTCCTTCCCCTTTGTAAAGCCAGAGGAAATAAAGCATGATCACCCTGCTGTTTTTGAAGAGTGTTATGCCTGCAAGTCAAGGAACCCCAAGAATTGTTGACAGTAAGCAGAGCTAGGATTGTTGTTGCTAGGATGTTGTTGTTCTTGTTAAGTGTCGTCGAGTCAGTGCTGACTCATAGCGGCCTTGTATAGGGTTTCTGAAGAGCAGCTGGTGAATTTGAACCACCGACCTTGTGGTCCAGAGTATTATCCCACAGCGCCACACCATGGAAATAAGTTTCCCCCAGAGCCTCTAGAAGGAAGTAATCCTGCCCACTCCTTGATTCTGGATTTCTGGACTCTGGAACTATGAAAGAATTAAATTCTCTTGTTGTAAGCCACCCACTTTGTAGTCATTTGTTAAGGTAGACTGTAAAGTTTGTCAATACAACCTTTCATTTTATAAGTGACTCCAAAGGGGATAAATTATTTGCTCAAGTAATAACTATGAAAAGAGAACTATACATACAGAGATCTAAGCATAGTCTGAAGAGGGGAAATAATACTAAGATGCTTGACTGTCTTATGAATATTTGTTTCCTTGGCCTACTATATTGTAAAATAGACACTTGAGTGGGATAGAAAGGAATGTCGGGAAACATGATTACATAAAGCTTGTAAGACCGACTTCAGCCTATAACTAGTTGGAATACCTAAAAGTGGTTCTAGAACGTGCCCAGTGAAATAGGCCTCTTGCGGAGCCTTTGCAGTGTAAAGGACCTTAGGTGGAATCCTGAACCCCATCCAGAACCTTCTGAGGTGGGACATTCCCACTAGAAAGGACAAGTAGACCAGCCTGGAGCAGCTAGAGTGACAGAAGACACATCTTCAAAGAAAGATCATCAGGAAATACCCAAAATAAAAATGTCAGTATGACTGGCTACTACAAGAATAAGCAAGTTGTTCTCCGGGAAGCCATCAAGGCAAGCAATCAAGTCCCCTTGGGATAAACCCCCCTCTAAATACCAACAGAGAGGGAAGGAGTCTTCACATCAAGATAGAAGTTTTGTAACAAAAATAGGGAGTAGTTCATCTTACAGTCCAGAAA